CGACCATCACGACCGTTAAAAGATGACGGTAGCCGAAGCAATTTACCCCATCATCCCGACGGCGCTCTGATGGTAATCTTGGGCATAATATTTTATCAAATCACCTTATTCTTTGGGGCACACATGAGAAACACAAATGCGAATAAGCCTGAATGGTCCCCAGGCATATATGCAACCGAAAAGTCACATCCCAGAAGTGACTCGAACCCATATTGCCAGGAGCACTATCGCAACTGGTGTACAGGACACCATCACCACCGTTAAAAGATGATGGTGATTTGATAAAATACTACGTTCAAGATTACCATCAGAGTGCCGTCGGGATGATGGGGGTAAAATAGCTTCGGCACCATCATCTTTTAACGGTCATGATGGTCGAGATTACCTCCCAGCAGCCCTTGTGACCAAGTCTGAGTCTGTGTATAGCTGCAATGTCTCTGGATATCTTTTTGTCAGGCTTGAAAGAGTAGTACCCAGTGGCTTGTTCGTGCATACAAGGTTATGTTGGTGTTATAGATTCAGCTACTCGGAACAAGTTCCAAGTAGCACGGACTATGGTGAGCCCGTAACTTACCTGGCACTGGAGCGGGGCAAGTAGCACGGGCAATGGTGAGCCCGTAGTGGACTTACCTGGCACAGGAGCGGTGCTGTGTGTCGTGACATACAAGGAGAAGTATGGACATTTGTAAGTGTAGGGACACCTCACTCTACGATTCACCTAACCCCCTTAATACTAGGGAACGGCGAAGGATAGGATGAAGTGAATGTTGCCTGACTCCGGCTTCTAGCTGTCCGCCAGGTCTTACATCTTCCCTCTGGGTCAATGGAGGACCATTGAACAGCTGTATGATCGAAGTCGAAGTCGATGGTCCTCCATTGATCCAGAGGATGAATAACCAGAGTGAAAAATGAAAGGTTAACAAGCTAGACATAACCTATTAACCTTTCATTTTTACTCTGGTTATTCGTTACATATTTATTACATAAAATATGTATGTGTACGAGTTTTGGTGATATACGAACATGATTATATATAATGTGTGTTCACTGGACCTGAAGTGAACGTGTGAATGTTCACAGGAGTGTTCCCGTGTGTTCAAAACACACAGGAACACAGAATCGAGCATCAGGAGCTAAACTGTATGATAAACAACCTTGCTCTCTCAGTGCATGTGCATCCCCCTTAGCATGTCGCTTTCTCTAACACGCTGCTCACCAGAATTAGCCACTCAGAACTCTTACACAGGACGGCAAGGTCTTACTCTGCTTACAATAATCAGTCACTCAGAACCGTTAGACAAGAGAGCGTGACCTGACTGCTCACCGATTCAGCCACTCAGAACTGTTAGACAGGAGAGCTAAGTCTGACTGCTCACCGTAATCAGCCGCTCAGAACTGTTAGACAGGAGAGCTAAGTCTGACTGCTCACCGTAATCAGCCGCTCAGAACGGTTAGACAGGAGGGCGAGATCTGTTTAAGGTCATTCTGCACGCGCTTATAGACTATTGAACACTATTCTTTCGGTTTGAACATTTTTATATGCAAACTTTGTTATTTTTAATACATATATATTTATATATATTGTTCACATTTTTACCAGAAAATATATAGAAAGTTTGATATTTTTATTGCTAAAATTATAGTTTCTTGTTTATTGAAAATTTTAATATTATTACACTTTTTCTTTTATTTTATGCCTCATTTACGCCTGTGTTCTGGGTATTTATCTACATGATAATCATTTATAATGTCTAAGTATCTTTTATGTCTAAGGTTAATGGCTTTGTCTTGACTTATTTAAACATATTTTTTGCTCATTGGTCATGATATTCATTTCTTAAGTGTTGATCTTTTTAACAACATTCTGACTTCTGGGTTTACCACCCCTTCCCTCCCTCACCCTTCACCACCCTTCCCTTCCTCACCCTTCACCACCCCTTCCCTACCTCACCCTTCACCACCCTTCCCTCCCTCACCCTTCACCACTCTTCCCTCCCTCACCCTTCACCACCCTTCCCTCTCTCACCCTTCACCACCCCTTCCCTTCCTCACCCTTCACCACCCCTTCCCTCCCTCACCCTTCACCACCCTTCCCTTCCTCACCCTTCACCACCCTTCCCTTCCTCACCCTTCACCACCCTTCCCTCCCTCACCCTTCACCACCCTTCCCTTCCTCACCCTTCCCTCTCTCACCCTTCACCACCCCTTCCCTTCCTCACCCTTCACCACCCTTCCCTCCCTCACCCTTCACCACCCTTCCCTCCCTCACCCTTCACTACCCCTTGGACACTGGTGGAGTGCCTCTACACTACTGGTGGAGTGCCTCTATGGTGGAGTGCCTCTATGGTGGAGTGCCTCTACACTACTGGTGGAGTGCCTCTATGGTGGAGTGCCTCTATGGTAGAGTGCCTCTACACTACTGGTGGAGTGCCTCTACACTACTGGTGGAGTGCCTCTTCACTACTGGTGGAGTGCCTCTTCACTACTGGTGGAGTGCCTCTACACTACTGGTGGAGTGCCTCTTCACTACTGGTGGAGTGCCTCTTCACTACTGGTGGAGTGCCTCTACACTACTGGTGGAGTGCCTCTACTGGTGGAGTGCCTCTTCACTACTGGTGGAGTGCCTCTACACTACTGGTGGAGTGCCTCTACACTACTGGTGGAGTGCCTCTTCACTACTGGTGGAGTGCCTCTATGGTGGAGTGCCTCTATGGTGGAGTGCCTCTACACTACTGGTGGAGTGCCTCTACACTACTGGTGGAGTGCCTCTTCACTACTGGTGGAGTGCCTCTACACTACTGGTGGAGTGCCTCTACACTACTGGTGGAGTGCCTCTACACTACTTGTGGAGTGCCTCTTCTCTACTGGTGGAGTGCCTCTACTGGTGGAGTGCCTCTTCACTACTGGTGGAGTGCCTCTTCACTACTGGTGGAGTGCCTCTACACTACTGGTGGAGTGCCTCTACACTACTGGTGGAGTGCCTCTACACTACTGGTGGAGTGGTGGAGTGCCTCTACACTACTGGTGGAGTGCCTCTTCACTACTGGTGGAGTGCCTCTACACTACTGGTGGAGTGCCTCTTCACTACTGGTGGAGTGCCTCTACACTACTGGTGGAGTGCCTCTACACTACTGGTGGAGTGCCTCTACACTACTGGTGGAGTGCCTCTTCACTACTGGTGGAGTGCCTCTTCACTACTGGTGGAGTGCCTCTACACTACTGGTGGAGTGCCTCTACACTACTGGTGGAGTGCCTCTTCACTACTGGTGGAGTGCCTCTACACTACTGGTGGAGTGCCTCTACTCTACTGGTGGAGTGCCTCTACTGGTGGAGTGCCTCTTCACTACTGGTGGAGTGCCTCTTCACTACTGGTGGAGTGCCTCTACACTACTGGTGGAGTGCCTCTACACTACTGGTGGAGTGCCTCTTCACTACTGGTGGAGTGCCTCTACACTACTGGTGGAGTGCCTCTTCACTACTGGTGGAGTGCCTCTACACTACTGGTGGAGTGCACTACTGGTGGAGTGCCTCTACACTACTGGTGGAGTGCCTCTACACTACTGGTGGAGTGCCTCTTCACTACTGGTGGAGTGCCTCTTCACTACTGGTGGAGTGCCTCTACACTACTGGTGGCCTCTTCACTACTGGTGCCTCTTCACTACTGGTGGAGTGCCTCTACACTACTGGTGGAGTGCCTCTACACTACTGGTGGAGTGCCTCTACACTACTGGTGGAGTGCCTCTACACTACTGGTGGAGTGCCTCTTCACTACTGGTGGAGTGCCTCTACACTACTGGTGGAGTGCCTCTACACTACTGGTGGAGTGTCTCTGCACTACTGGTGGAGTGCCTCTACACTACTGGTGGAGTGCCTCTACACTACTGGTGGAGTGCCTCTTCACTACTGGTGGAGTGCCTCTTCACTACTGGTGGAGTGCCTCTACACTACTGGTGGAGTGCCTCTTCACTACTGGTGGAGTGCCTCTACACTACTGGTGGAGTGCCTCTTCACACTACTGGTGGAGTGCCTCTTCACTACTGGTGGAGTGCCTCTTCACTACTGGTGGAGTGCCTCTTCACTACTGGTGGAGTGCCTCTTCACTACTGGTGGAGTGCCTCTTCACTACTGGTGGAGTGCCTCTACACTACTGGTGGAGTGCCTCTACACTACTGGTGGACTACTGGTGGAGTGCCTCTACACTACACTACTGGTGGAGTGCCTCTTCACTACTGGTGGAGTGCCTCTTCACTACTGGTGGAGTGCCTCTTCACTACTGGTGGAGTGCCTCTACACTACTGGTGGAGTGCCTCTACACTACTGGTGGAGTGCCTCTACACTACTGGTGGAGTGCCTCTACACTACTGGTGGAGTGCCTCTTCACTACTGGTGGAGTGCCTCTTCACTACTGGTGGAGTGCCTCTTCACTACTGGTGGAGTGCCTCTTCACTACTGGTGGAGTGCCTCTACACTACTGGTGGAGTGCCTCTTCACTACTGGTGGAGTGCCTCTACACTACTGGTGGAGTGCCTCTTCACTACTGGTGGAGTGGCTCTACACTACTGGTGGAGTGCCTCTTCACTACTGGTGGAGTGCCTCTACACTACTGGTGGAGTGCCTCTACACTACTGGTGGAGTGCCTCTTCACTACTGGTGGAGTGCCTCACAATACCAGTGTGTCATTCTGAAAGCCCCAGACAGCACCATGTTCTAGGATAAACCTTTTTTTAAACAGAAGTTTGGGAATATTTTTTTATTCATTTTTGTTGTCATGATTTGAGTGATATGAGCGAGTTCGTTCTCTGTTGAGTTTCTGGCTGTGTTTCACTCATTCTTTTATGTCTCTCTCTTTCTCTCTCTCTCTCTCTCTCTCTCTCACCTATCTCTAGTCCTTCAATTTCCCCCAATCTTCTCTCCCCCCTTCCCTTTTCCCTCCTCTTTCTCCTCTGCCCCATCCATCAAACCTCAGAAATAAAGTTCCTTTTGGTATCCCCTGGGTGCAGACGAGGCGGTGCCCGAGACAGTGGGAGCTGTGGGCACGGTGGAGCCAGTGCCCCTCGACGTCCACCTGCCCATCGGGATGCCCCTCAACCACATGAAGAACATCTATGTTGCCATAGCCACGCTCGCCTCCGCTTTGCTTATCTTCATTCTGGTGGTGAGTGCCATGCTCTTGCCCCTGTTGGAGGGGTGGGGTTGCCCCTGTTGGAGGGGTGGGGTTGTCCCTGTTGGAGGGGTGGGGTTGCCCCTGTTGGAGGGGTGGGGTTGTCCCTGTTGGAGGGGTGGGGTTGTCCCTGTTGGAGGGGTGGGGTTGTCCCTGTTGGAGGGCTGGGGTTGTCCCTGTTGGAAGGGTGGGGTTGTCCCTGTTGGAAGGGTGGGGTTGCCCCTGTTGGAGGGGTGGGGTTGTCCCTGTTGGAGGGGTGGGGTTGTCCCTGTTGGAGGGGTGGGGTTGTCCCTGTTGGAGGCGGAGGAGGGGGGACCTTTATAGGGCTGTGATGATTTAGAGATGCAAAGATGATGAGACACAGGAAGAACATTTTAATGTTTGTGTGTGACTTCCAGCAAGAAAGCACAGAGTGCCTTAAGGATGTGTGTACTGAAAACGATTAGAAAGTATACAAAATGCCTAGAGTGTGGGGGAGAATTTTCTGAAAGTTGTATTTGGGAATAATGTAGCAATATAACATGCATTGAGAGATGACAGAGAAGTCTTTGAGACGTTATCCTTTCTCCTACATTTTTGCCTTCGGCTGTAAACAGACAGTAATCCCTAAGTTTACGTTAATCCCTAACTTACTAAGTTAATAGTTAATCCCTAACTAACTTTCCTCTATACAATGAACTCCCACTAAAGCTGCAGTTCTCAAAAATTCTTTATAGTAAATTTTCTGAGCCACAGGAGTCAGTTCTCGACTGGACAAAACAGCCAGTGTGTGTGTGTACTGAAACACCCTAACCTAACCTACGTAACCGTACGGTCCCATGCATAGAAAATGTGTTGCACGGGAGCCGCTTTGATTTACAGTACAATACATCATATTTTGTCTGTTGAGGATTTTGATGTCAATATGGTATGAATTATTAAAGAGGAGAGGATGCAATTTCAGAGCATCCTCCTGTACACCAGATGCACGTCATGGTTGGGGGGGCTTAAGACCCGGTCACTTTAATGTGTGCTGTGTCATATGATATCATGACCAGGTTGTGTCTTACCCACCTCCTAATTCTCCAATTGTCCTGTGTCTCGTCTCACATTCCTTATTGTGATGCGTGTCATCTAGTGGGCATTGCGCTCGCTGCCATGACATTTGCCTGTCATGTGTCATACCTTCCCGCCTCCCATGACTGTCATGTGTCAAATCTCCCCGCTTCCCATGACTGTCATGTGCCATATCTCCCCGCCTCCCATGACTGTCATGTGTCATATCTCCCCGCTTCCCATGACTGTCATGTGTCATATCTCCCCGCCTCCCATGACTAACCCATGTGTCATCACCCCGGCAGGTTGGAGCGTGTCATTGCCGCGTCAACAGGACCTACCGCAAGTGCTTCATGAAGCTGCCTCGCCCCAGCAAGGGCCTCTCCTCCGTCAGAAGACCAAGACCAACTTCTCTCTTCGAAAAATCCAGGTGGGCGCGCGCGTGTAACAGTAGGGAATAGGTAGTAGGGAATGCAGTCCAGCGTCCCTTTTTTATCTGGAAAAATGGACGCTGGATTGCAAGGGGTTCCAGGTAAATTTTTCATTTTCTTTTCAGAGTTTTATTCTATCACATCCATTTAAGGCTAAATTATTTCAATATTCATATAGTCATAGAAGATTGTTAAGGAATTGTTATAACAAATTCAGGGGCAAAGTTCGCTCCGATCTTACTGAGAATAAACTCTACGGTATTTTTTTTTTCAAAATCACTCATCTGGAGTTAAAAAGAGTTCTTATGGAAGAAATTCAGACCGAAAATCACTCATACGTTCTTAAATGATTCGTATGGGAGAAATTAAAAAAAAATCAGAGTTCAGTTTTATCAAAATATTTCAGAGTTCATATAATCATAGGAGTTTATTTAAGAGTGTAAGACCGAAATTTAGAAAAAAAAAAAAACATTTTCAGAGAATATGCTCATAGAAGTTTTGTTAAGGAAAATAGATATCTTAGCCGTGACTTTTAGTTTGTATATCCATTTACATGGATATACAAACTGATATACAGCATGGAGTCTATATCTAGTCAAGAATAAGACTAAACTGGAGAAGGTTCAAAGGTTTGCCACCAGACTAGTACCCGAACTGAGAGGTATGAGTTATGAGGAGAGACTACGAGAGTTAAACCTCACGTCACTGGAAGACAGAAGAGTTAGGGGGAACATGATCACCACATACAAGATTCTCAAAGGAATTGATAAGGTAGATAAGGACCTGCTATTTAACCCAAGGGGCACACGCACTTGGGGACACAGGTGGAAATTGAGTGCCCAAATGAGCCACAGAGATATTAGAAAGAACTTTTTTTAGTGTCAGAGTGGTTGACAAATGGAATGCATTAGGCTCCATATGTGGTGGAGGCTGACTCCATAACACAGTTTCATATGCAGATATGATAGAGCCCAGTAGGCTCAGGAACCTGTACACCTGTTGATTGACGGTTGAGAGACGGGACCAAAGAGCCAGAGCTCAACCCCCGCAAGCACAAATAGGTGAGTACACACACAGGAGCCTCGCGGCTGAGTGTGTGCGCGTCGCAGCGCTCGTGGGTTGCAGTCCTAAGGGCCCGGGTTTGATTCCCGGCCGAGGCAGAAACAAGTGGGCAGTTTCTTTCACCCTGGTACCCCTGTTACCTAGCAGTAAATACGTGTCTGGGAGTTAGACAGCTGCTACGGGCTGCTTCCTGGGGATTTGTGTGTGTGTGTGTGTTGTGTGTGTGTGTGTGTGTGTGTGTGTGTGTGTGTGTGTGTACTCACCTAGTTGTGTCTGCAGGATCGAGCATTGACTCTTGGATCCCGCCTTTCGAGCATCGGTTGTTTACAGCAATGACTCCTGTCCCATTTCCCTATCATACCTGGTTTTAAAATTATGAATAGTATTTGCTTCCACAACCTGTTCCTGAAGTGCATTCCATTTTCCCACTACTTTCACGCTAAAAGAAAACTTCCTAACATCTCTGTGACTCATCTGAGTTTCAAGCTTCCATCCATGTCCCCTCGTTCTGTTACTATTCCGTGTGAACATTTCGTCTATGTCCACTCTGTCAATCCCTCTGAGTATCTTATACGTTTCTATCATGTCCCCCCTCTCCCTTCTTCTTTCTAGTGTCGTAAGGCACAGTTCCCTCAGGCGCTCCTCATACCCCATCCCTCGTAGCTCTGGGACGAGTCTCGTTGCAAACCTCTGAACCTTTTTCAGTTTCATTATATGCTTCTTCAGATGGGGACTCCATGATGAGGCGGCATACTCTAAGACTGGCCTCACGTAGGCAGTGTAAAGCGCCCTAAATGCCTCCTTACTTAGGTTTCTGAATGATGTTCTAACTTTTGCCAGTGTAGAGTACGCTGCTGTCGTTATCCTATTTATATGTGCCTCAGGAGATAGATTAGGTGTTACGTCCACCCCCAGGTCTCTTTCACGCGTCGTGAAAGGTAGGCTGTTCCCCTTCATTGTGTACTGTCCCTTTGGTCTCCTATCTCCTAGTCCCATTTCCATAACTTTACATTTGCTCGTGTTGAATTCCAGTAGCCAGTGAATGAATTCCAGAATTCCAGTGTGTGTGTGTGTGTGTGTGTGTGTGTGTGTGTGTGTGTGTGTGTGTGTGTGTGTGTGTGTGTGTGTGTGTTTTAGTGAGAAATACATGTCGTAGACATAATAGAGGAAAAATAGATTGGTTAGAAAGGCGGGGGTCCAAGAGCTAATATCTCGATTCTGCAGGCACAAATAGTAAATACAAATAGTAAATGCACACACATTTTATTTTCTTCTAGCAACGCGTTACCAATTTTCCAGAAAGGAGATTAAGAAGAGGCACTGAACTACAGACCAATATCACCATCCCTTGTAAAGTACTTGAAAGAATAATCAATTAGGTTAAGACTGGTTACACACTTAGAGAAAATTAAGTATATAAACAATCACCAGCATGTTGTATCAATTGAACAAATCCACAAGGGCCGTGATGAGGGTTCGAACCTACGTCCGAGAAGATCGTAAGCAAGGCAAGGCATAAAGAACTAGGTTAAAGAGGCACTTAGAGAGGCACTTCTCCGTAGACACTCTTAAATAAGCACACACACACACACACACACACACACACACACACACACACACACACACACACACACACACACACACACACACACACACGCACACACACACACACACACACACACGAGCCGCTAGGGGTGGACCCCAACATTTATTAAAGACATTTGTAAATAAATGTCTTTATTAAAGACATAAAGACATTTGTAAATAATCCTCTTAACAGTCCATCTTTAAACCGTAAGTATCTGCTTCATTTACTTAACTTCAAGATTTAATTTGTTATAATAAAATCAGAAATGTTCTCCAAAAAAGGGATTATAATTTGAACTTGTCATTTGAAATGCATGTGAACAACGAATCCTTTAGAACTAATTAAACAGTGTCACACAATTTTAATTCCTGTATTATTAAAGTCTAGGGACAGTTGTAATATAAGTTTAGATAATAGTCCTTCTTAAAGACGCCTGTTATTAGAACCGAGGATTAATTGAACCCTAAAGTTTAGATAGTTGTCTTTTTATAGGAAAGAGTTATTAAAGGCTAGATACAGTTTAAATCTGAGGTTTAGATAACCTTTTTTCGTGTAATTTTTCGTGTTATTAAAGCTTATAGACACTAAAAATAACTGTCTATTAGGTTTAAACACTGTTGAGATTCAAATAACTTTCTTAGAGACATTTGTTATTAAAGCCTATAGACATATAGACCTGAGATATAGAGTTCTTGATGAGCAAGTTTGAGGTCCTCTTAATCATGTAGTATATTGTCAACTCTATCTCCTACAGTCTATTCACTGAGGGAACTCTTATAGGAACGTTCTCAAATGCTATTAGTTGCTGCACAGGCTGTACGAGGCATGTTACAAAGGTTACAGCAGAATATTCCCCTTAAATTAGATGTCGGTGGGTATTTTGAGCAGCAATAACACATTCAGTAATACACCAATAAATGAATACCCCGAGACGTGATGCCACCCACTGTACTGAGCTCTCCTGAGTGTCACATCCTAGTGAGCTGCCTCACCTCCTCCTCCTCCACTGACAGACGCGGGGACCGGAAGGGCGCCTTGCGGCTGGAGGCCGACTCCGACGGCGCCGCCATGCCAATGACCTCCAACTCTGATGCCGTCTACTACAACATGGACGTCTGTGACAACCAGGAACTGCCGCTTATCAAGTAGGGACGAAGGCGAGCGGTCTCCTCCTCCTCGTCCTCCTCGTCCTCGTCCTCCTACTTGTCCTCCTCCTCGTCCTCCACACATCATGCCATTGAGTGGGAAAGTTCGCTTCACCTAAATATATTTTATTCTTTCCATTGAGAGCGTCTCTTATTATAATATAAATTAATATAGTAATATGTATACCTTATATTATAACAAGAATTACATTTAATTCCCTGATTTTTAGGCAAGTTTAGTCTAATTGCGATTAATTTATTAACTACTGTACTATTATATATATATATATATATATATATATATATATATATATATATATATATATATATATATATATATATATATATATATATATATATATATATAATTATTCAAATGGAAACCGTAAACACAGCCGAGCTAAGAACACTTTGTTTAAAGACAAAATGCATAATTGTTCATGTGTTCACGCAGAGAAAGAACATTATTAAGCCAAATAAATTTACCATAGACATGAACAAACAACACAGTGAGTAAGAACTGTGGCAGTGATTGACAACTCTGTCAGTGGAGTGTCAGTGGTTAGCAAATATGATAGTTGACAGTCAGTGGGCGAGAACTGTATCACTGTGTGGGAACTGTGTCAGTGGGGAGAAAATTGTGTTATTGGGAAAGAACTGTCAGTGGAGTGTCAATGAGTGAAAAGTGTGTAAGTGGGTGAGATCTGTGTTAGCGGATAAGAACTTGGCTAGTGGAGTGACAATGGGTGAGAACTGAGACAGTGAGGTAAAAACTGTGGCACGGAGGTAAGGTCTGTGTTAGGGCAGTGACCGAGGGTGAGAACTGTATCAGTGACATCTCCAGGTGACAGTGTGTCACCCTCTTCGACAGTCTTCACAGTTCTACACTCAGACCATCACGAATATGACGTACACACATACACACACACAAGTTATATACTTTCAAACCCGCTAATTCCATTTTCTAATGCTAAATCAAATTCAGAGTTAAAAAAAGAATCATTCAACATGTCTCAGTTTCCATATAAATGTCCAGACACTGATACAGAAGGCCCAGCAGAAGCGACCAATATATTTGTTAGAATAATCTAACTCTAGAAGCCATGGTAATGAGTCTCTGGAGAGCGTCGAGGCTCTAATGTATATGCACAGAAAAATTCACAACTGGGAGAGATGGCCAACACAAAGAGAAACAAGTAGGGGATAATTAAGAGGCGGAGAAATTATTATTGATGAATAACGCCGAAATTCTTACAAGAGTGTTAACATTATACACGTTCGCCAGCCGCTTATAGCTCGGTGGGTAACATCGGTTAAGTTAGCAAGTCTGAAGTATATTGTCATCAGTACCAAACGTTCAGACCTGTAGCTGTATAGCCTCATAAACTGGACCTCGGCATGAACGTCGCACTGATGGCAACATAGACTTCACTACAACCAACTACACGATATAAAGTATGTCTGTAATAATCTTCGTACACTTTGAAAGAGTTTTTGCCTACAAATTATAAATAAACAAAAACTGTGTAAGATTCTCAAGTATCAATTCTGACGTGTCGTAAGAATTGGGTATCCTTTTATTTTATCTTAACTAATAAGTAACTTATTTGTATATTATAACAACATTCACTTTCTGGCGATTGAATACACCTCCCAAGAGTGGACACAGGTCCAACATGTCCCAAGAGTGGACACAGGTCCAACATGTCCCAAGAGTGGACACAGGTCCAACATGTCCCAAGAGTGGACACAGGTCCAACATGTCCCAAGAGTGGACACAGGTCCAACATGTCCCAAGAGTGGACACAGGTCCAACAGGTCCCAAGAGTGGACACAGGTCCAACAGGTCCCAAGAGTGGACACAGGTCCAACAGGTCCCAAGAGTGGACACAGGTCCAACATGTCCCAAGAGTGGACACAGGTCCAACAGGTCCCAAGAGTGGACACAGGTCCTACAGGTCCCAAGAGTGTACACAGGTCCTACAGGTCCCAGAGTGGTCTTTTGGGTTGTATGTCACACTGCGACGTAAATAATTTCCAAGACAATGCGACTCAAATATTGAAAAAAAAATCTAATCCTTCCACTTTTTAGGTAAATTTTCAGTGGTGTGAAGGCTGAGTACTTTCACCCACATAATTCATGCAAAGTAATATAGTTCATACTCCTCTCTAATAAGAACTTAATTTCATCAAATTTTATCATACATTAAATTACATTTCATTTGTAAAAAAAAACGTATTTATAAAATATGAATCAGTATGAGTAAATTAACCTGTAGTACATTTAAATATATTGTTTGTCATTAGTGTTACTGATGGCAAGAGAAACCTTCACCTTACTGGTAATGTGAAGAGGATCAGGTAGCTTTGAAATCGTTTAATCCGAGTCGACCTGATACCTTTCATGTAATAAACCGGATGCTTATGAGTTTTAAAACACGTCTCCTGGATTTTGAGACCATCACACTCACCAGACTGGTTACAATCCACGTGTTTTAAGAACAGGAAAAACTCATTCGATAATACAAGCTGTCAAAATTTTGTGTAGTGAATTACTTGTAGGTTAAAGTTTAGAAATCCATGGGAGACGTCGCAGCTTGGTTTCCTGAGGGTGTAAACATTTATCAATGGAAAATTAATATTATAAAATGAAGGTTGTATTCATTCCAACCTGTCTTGGAGACAGAAGACTAAAGATGTGATCCGATACTTAGTGCAGGCTCTTCAATACTTTGTAGTGCCAATGTGATACTTCTCTTATAGTGAAGCATAAATACAAAGTCCTGTTTATGATATTGCCTAATATAGTTCAATCCTACGATGTCCAGTGTATTTTATTAAAGCTTTCACAGATCTTCATTTTCTTTTGCATCTCATTTTTATTCTGGAAGATCTGGCATTGAGACAATATATATATATAACATGAAAATGCTAGTGACCATCATTTTTAGATGACAGCAAATGGCAGGAGCAATGTCTGCGTCCCTTAATTCGCCGTTTGTGGTGAGTGGGACCTGAGTGTGTCCCACGACTGGCCGTCCGTGTGAGGTAGGACAAGGGATAACATCAGGACAGAGGGCTAGACAAAGCTGGAAGTGTTCTCGTTGTTCTGCTTTAGCTGCGCTTGTGTGGACCAGGTCTCACAGTGGTGGGGTCAGGCGACCAACGCACCTCGCTTATCGACGAAGGTTGCTTGTAGTAGGAGACACGAGAGGCAACGTAGCTCTTGACCTTTAAAGGTCAAGGTATATTAAGTATATCTTCAACGTGATGCTTTATTTTTCTTGTTGTATTACAAGATATATTCTGGTAAACTTTAGATAAATGAGAGATTATTTTGGCTGTAGTTATCCTTGCTTTGTGAGAGTTATAGTCTTGAGTTATGAGTAGAGGCAGCCTGTGTTTAGCTCACATAGAATACGGAGAGACCGCAAGTTACAGAGTTCAAACAGCAGCAAGCAAACACTACAGTCAAGACTGATGCGTGGTGCCAGTTTGATTGATGGTGTTGACAGCTCCTGCCAAAGCCATTACAGCATCGCACACTTCCCTACCACACACTACAAACATCCCAGACTAGTTTCCCTTGAGGTAATTCTTCGAGTCTCGTGTGGCTTTTGTTTTCTGAAGTAAATCTTGCTTTTCCTTAAATTTCCCGATTTCCATGGATGCTTAATGAGAAGCGAAACAGTTATTGGTGCACTTATGATAACATTGTATAAATGTCCAGAATATATTGTTAAAATTACATTGTATTTTGTCCATTTCTGCGGACCTGTCAAATACAACAATTGATTGTTTCATGATTTCTAGAACTTAGCAAAGCTTCGTACTGTTTTGAAAACTATTGTCAATATTTGTAAGCATACGGTTGAATTACAATTGTCTAAATAATCCTGATGTAATACATTTCAGAGTAATACACAATAAACATTCATTACTATAGGTGTTGTAAATAAGTGTTTGCAATATTACTTCCCCCCCCCCCCCAAGGATAATATTTGTGTAAGGGTTGCTCGGGTATCTAACTGATGTAGATGGCAGCCAGCTGGAGGCTGTAACAGCCAGCTGGAGGCTGTAACAGCCAGCTGGAGGCTGTAGCAGCCAGCTGGAGGCTGTAACAGCCAGCTGGAGGCTGTAGCAGCCAGCTGGAGGCTGTAACAGCCAGCTGGAGGCTGTAGCAGCCAGCTGGAGGCTGTAGCAGCCAGCTGGAGGCTGTAACAGCCAGCTGGAGGCTGTAGCAGCCAGCTGGAGGCTGTAGCAGCCAGCTGGAGGCTGTAGCAGCCAGCTGGAGTCTGTAGCAGCCAGCTGGAGGCTGTAACAGCCAGCTGGAGGCTGTAGCAGCCAGCTGGAGGCTGTAACAGCCACCTGGAGTCTGTAGCAGCCAGCTGGAGGCTGTAACAGCCAGCTGGAGGCTGTAACAGCCAGCTGGAGGCTGTAGCAGCCAGCTGGAGTCTGTAACAGCCAGCTGGAGTCTGTAGCAGCCAGCTGGAGGCTGTAACAGCCAGCTGGAGTCTGTAACAGCCAGCTGGAGGCTGTAACAGCCAGCTGGTGGCTGTAACAGCAAGCTGGAGTCTGTAGCAGCCAGCTGGAGTCTCTAGCAGCCAGCTGGAGTCTGTAGCAGCCAGCTGGAGTCTGTAGCAGCCAGCTGAAGTCTGTAGCAGCCAGCTGGAGCCTGTAACAGCCAGCTGGAGCCTGTAACAGCCAGCTGGAGCCTGTAACAGCCAGATGGAGCCTGTAACAGCCAGCTGGAGCCTGTAATAGCCAGATGGAGCCTGTAACAGCCAGCTGGAGCCTGTAACAGCCAGCTGGAGTCTGTAGCAGCCAGCTGAAGTCTGTAGCAGCCAGCTGGAGCCTGTAACAGCCAGCTGGAGCCTGTAACAGCCAGCTGGAGCCTGTAACAGCCAGCTGGAGCCTGTAACAGCCAGCTGGAGCCTGTAACAGCCAGCTGGAGCCTGTAACAGCCAGATGGAGCCTGTAACAGCCAGCTGGAGCCTGTAATAGCCAGATGGAGCCTGTAACAGCCAGCTGGAGCCTGTAACAGCCAGCTGGAGTCTGTAGCAGCCAGCTGAAGTCTGTAGCAGCCAGCTGGAGCCTGTAACAGCCAGCTGGAGCCTGTAACAGCCAGCTGGAGCCTGTAACAGCCAGCTGGAGCCTGTAACAGCCAGATGGAGCCTGTAACAGCCAGCTGGAGCCTGTAATAGCCAGATGGAGCCTGTAACAGCCAGCTGGAGGCTGTAGCAGCCAGCTGGAGGCTGTAACAGCCAGCTGGAGTCTGTAGCAGCCAGCTGGAGG